GTCAAGTCTATAGAAAAGGATTTTTTTTTCCCACCTAAATCCTAACAGAACTGCCTGGTTTTCTGGCAGTGACTCCTTTAATTACTCTGCATCCTGAAGCAATATGATACTACATTATCAGGAGTCTGTTTCTAGAATGATCATGTCTCCAACTTCTACAAGAACAGTATGGATAAGAACGAAGATAAGGGGGAATTGTCTACAGTGGAAATGGCCAGAAATTTATTGGCACCAAGTTTATGGGCTCATTCACGATTTTTAGCTTCAAAGGTTTCAAATCTGTCCTGTATACCATAGTTAAGAATATGGGATTGGGGAATATTCCAAGTTCCACTAAATCTATCCTTGGCAACTTCTCATTTCATCCCCAAACATTCCTTCCCATCCCTAGAAATAAAAGACTGGATCACAGTTAAGGACCCTCCAGGCAGCTTTTTGCTATGCTATTAAGCTTGTGCTGTAATCACAGGCTCTACCCTCTCTTTCTCATGAATCATGCCGGACTCCTAGTGGTAATTACTTTCGGCATGCTAGCTATTATCACTTGAGAAATGTGATTACGAAGTAGTTGGAAAACATTTGATATCATTCAATTCTAGTGGATCCATAAGTGAATCTTAGGCGTTTCTTGTCAATTAGAAAGATTGCAAGTCATTCTAGTTGCATCACCAGATGATTTCAGGAAACAAGAGGAAAATGCGTAAACGGGGTGTGAGAGCTTGAGATAAATGTTCAGAAATTCTTGTTTGAGATATAAACTTCTCAATAGCCTAAAAGCTATGTTCATAATGATCATTCTTATGTCAAATCATCATCACAGCAAAGAGTAAGGGACCATATGCTAGTTGGACCTAGTACCGCATAGATATTTAGTTTTCAGTGGACCACTTGTAATGTCCCCCATGCCGAGCAATAACAAAATAAAGTGAACAAGTTTGAAATTTCAAAAAGAAAGCTGATGTCCCCTTATCCATATGGGCCATGTCTGATGCTTCCAATTCAAGGAATGGTGATTCATGTCTTTTTCTAATCATGCCAGAATCCAAAAACTTAAACTGTCAGAAAGATTTCACTCGCATTCCACACTGTTCAAGCCGGTAGCTCTTTTAACTCTTTTAAGGCTTATATTAGTGTCGGCAATGCAAGATTTTCTTAAACTCTTCAAAGAGTTTAGCTTCTGCTAAGAAAGGTGATGGAGGAGTCCTGGAAACTGTTTTATACTTTTGGGATCTTGGTTTTTGGATTGGCAGCACAATGGGCGGCAGTGAAAAGTGATGGTGGTTCACTGTCATGTGGGTTTCCAGCAATATACAACTTTGGGGACTCAAATTCAGATACTGGAGGAATATCTGCAGCATTTACAGAACTCCCACCACCGAATGGAGAAACCTTCTTTGGACATCCTGCGGGCAGAGCCTGTGATGGTCGTCTCATCATAGATTTTATAGGCAAGCTCACATCATATATGTCTTCTTGGTTATTCTTGGCAAAACGTTAGCCCTATTCTGAATATTTATGCTTCAACTTACATCTTTGACTATTCCATTTTGTTGCTTGTTGCAGCTGAGAATCTGCAGTTACCATACCTTAGTGCATACCTGGACTCAGTTGGGACAAATTTCAGGCATGGTGCTAATTTTGCAACCGGAGGTTCATCCATTAGATCGCCTGGTTATAGTCCATTCAATCTCGGGGTTCAGATTTCACAGTTCATTCAATTTAAAGCTCGCACCACTGCTCTCTACAATCAACTTAGCCTCAGTAGTAAGTCTTTCCCTCTATATATTTTACATCAAAATTTTGCATGCTAGAATTAAGAGAACAACTCTTAGAGTGTTTGCTTTCTTGTCTGCTGAAGTTGATTTGATATACTAGCAATTTTCTGCTGAATTCCATTAGCAATCATACTTTATTATTATTTTTTTTTTGTAAATTACGACGTCAGGAAGAATTCCCTTAACGATTAGCAGCCTACCAAGGCCTGCCGAATTCTCACAGGCTCTATACACATTTGATATTGGACAAAATGATCTTGCCCATGGTTTCCAAGTCACAACAGAAAACCAAGTTAGAGCATCTATTCCCAATATCATAGGCCAGTTGTCCCAAGCTATTCATGTAAGCAACAACAATATTTTAGCAGAAGTGTTATCAATCTATAGGTGAACTAATACTGTCACTTGTCCTGGTTTCAGCTACTATACAAGGAAGGGGCAAGGTTCTTTTGGATACATAATACAGGTCCGCTTGGTTGCTTGCCTTATAATGTTCTATATGACAAGTCAAAGCCGGGTAATCTAGATAAGAACGGATGTGTGAAGCCTCTAAATGCTGTGGCTATGGAGTTTAATAGGCAGCTTAAGGACAAGATATCCCGGTTAAAGACACAACTCCCCTTTGCAAAATTCACATATGTTGATGTCTATTCAGCCAAATATGCACTCATTAGCAGCGCGAAGACTCTAGGTAAAACATGTTTGAAAACTGCAATGCAGGCATTTAAACTAAGCAGCTGGGAAAAGTAGAGATTAACTGCAACTGTTGTTCTTATGGCAGGTTATGTTGATCCAGTTAATTTTTGCTGTGGAAGTTTTTATGGATACCAGATTAATTGTGGGAAAAAAGCCATAGTGAATGGAACAGTGTATGGCAATCCTTGCAATCATCCATCAAGGCACATTAGCTGGGATGGTATACATTACTCTCAGGCAGCTAACATGTGGGTTGCAGACCGTATTCTGAATGGCTCCCTCTCTGACCCACCAGTCCCAATTCAAGATGCTTGTCATCATCAAAGAAACATGTGATGATGAGAAAAAAGAATGGCAATCATGGTATGTTTGCTCAGAAATTGGACAGAGATATTGCAGTGTTTACCGTCTTTTGACACTATAAATTATATATCTTAAGACAACAGTCTTATCAATTGATAAGAAAACGTTAAGGACAAGATATCCCAATTTCCAAAAGCATTTTTATATAAATTTATACTGCACTTAGTATCATTCTCCTGATGCCAGCAACACATTAGCAATCAATATTGTATCTTTTAGCATCATGTCTTTTTTATTGCTTAAGCATTTTGTTTTAACCTGCCTTTTTTGCTTTACCAATGACTTATGGTAAATGGTTGTTGATGCACTTGGAAGTGTAACTGCTCCATGTGCTGTTGATAACTGGTTGGAGTTTTCATTATATGACGAAGCAGTGTGCTTGCCATTGTTCTTGTCTCTTCAGAGACACATGGTGTAGCATTTTCAAAGAGATCATAACTTTTTTGTTGAAAGACATACTTAGCTTGGTGAGCAGTAGATATCAATAACCTCAATTGATGAGGACATAAGCTGTATACTAATTGATGGAGTAAATGTATGCTCTGTAAGTGAATTGGTGGGATATAGCTATGCATCATTATTATTATTTTTTGAAAGTTAGCTATGCATCATTATTACATTTAATAAAGTTTTTTTTTATTTTTATGTTTATAATTTTTATTATTAATTAATAAGATAAAGTTTACGAAGTTAAACATGCTTTACAAAAGAAATTATAAAAGGTAATAATAATAAGATCTCTATTGCATTAAAGTATTGTTTCTAAACATTCCTAATCTATGCTTTATCAATATTGCATATTGATAAAATTGAAAGACCAATACATGATTATGTTACTCACTTATAAAGTAAATTATTAATTTCATAAACTGAAATAATAATACCACTCCATGACCAATTTAATTGGGTCCAATTTTTGGATTATGTGCTCTCAAAAGTAATAGTAGTGATGCCATGACCCATTTCTCTATCAACTCAGACCAAGGATAACGATCATTGGTGTTGGGGATCCTGTCTTTTTAACCCAAAAGAAATGGTTTGATAAGTGACTTTTCAGCCCCCTTCCTTCTTTCTTCAACGAAGAAGACAAAGATCCAACATCTACTTCTTAATCTATTGATGCTCTGCCATGAGACTATGGCCTTTATCATGGTCTTTTGTTGGTTTGGGCTTCTGCTTCTTGTGCATTTTGGGTTCCCAAGTCCTAACTTTCATTTCTGGTTTATCAATCAATTAAATAAAGGCATCTTGTACTTTGTTTGGTCATTTTCCTGGTCATTTTCCACTTCCAGAAAATAACCCATCAGTCAAAAGCATTCACCTTCTGGCAGATGACTTCTCAGAGGCCTTCCTTGTACACAATTGATGTTGCCCCAGGATAATCTTGCCTGACCAAAGCCTAGGTCGATGGAACAGTTCATCATTATGATCCATGTGACATTCAATACAGTCGGATTAACTGTGGTGCCATACACACACTCAGGCAACTAACTTATCGCCTGCAATTTGCATTTTCAATGGGTCATTCTCTGACCCACCAGTTCAAATTGAGGAGACTTGTCATTGTCTCATGAATGTAAAGATTGTGTTGCTTTTGTCGTAGTAGCTTAGGGATTAGGGAAAATACTTTATATAGTAATATTGCTAGATTAAGGCCTATGCTTCCTTGTAAGCAAGTTCAGTTTAACTGTTTGATTAAGGACTTTCTTTATAAGCAAGCCTCACTTTCCTTAATATCACAAAAGGAAAGAGGAAAGGGAAAAGTTTTCTGGTTTATCGGTCGTCAATCACTGATGAATGTTAGCTTGGCATTTGAAGCAAATGGGGAAGTTTGTCCATTTCAGATTGTTTCTTCAGTGTTGTGCAACAATCTACCTTGGTTACTTATAATGAAGGGAAGGGCAAGGATGCTGACAAATGCCACTCAAACTTTGGTAGATTAGTCAAATTCTTTCATTGTCAGCCTGTGAAACTTACATAACACCATGGGCAACCACTGCCACAAAGGTTTTCAAGGCTTGGAAGGCAACTTATCTTTGCTAGTTAGATTAGTCAATTGATCTCCCAAACCAGGAGTTTTCCAGCAATGAACCGATGTGACCACTGGAAAACACAACAATGAACTGATATGTATTTCAATATATGGATGGTTTGGTGAACCAGTAATAAGAAAACAAAATGCCACCATTTTCTTTATTATAAATTGAAACATACAGAGAAGAATGTTACAAAGGAATACCAACAATTCCGTAATAAATGAACCATAAATGCAAATTTTCTCTTGACCCCTCAAGACAACTGTTGAAACCAGGCTTTTGGTATGTGTCTGACGAACCAACCACCTAATCCTCTTTCAGAATGGTATATTTATACATACGGACCGTATTTACATGAGCAGCATTATGATACCTTAATTCCATCATCCTTCATTATCTGATTGCTGGTGTCGAGGAGGGTTACCAGCGATCTTGATTTTCTGCTGCGGGCCCTGCCTGCTTCCTTCAATAACTCACCCAACCTTCGCTTCTCATCAATGACATCAGGATTTGCTGTTCCAAGCTTCTCCTCTCTCATGTCAACAACATAATCTAAAAGCTCGATGGCATCATCCAATCTGTGAAACATAAAATTTGTAAAACATGAGAACTACAAATTAAAAGTAAAAACGTTGAGAATTTTGAAGCTTTGAGTTCGGAGAACAGATTAATCACTTAAATGACATTGCTAGAATTTAAGGGAAAAGATGTACCTTCCCATTGCATCGTAGGCTCCAGCCAGATTGCTGTATACCCCCAATGTATCAGGGTGGTAAGGACCATATTCTTTCTCCAAAATGCTCCTTGCTTCTTCAAACAGATCAGCTGCCTCATTTATCGCGAACCGCTGCACGCAGGCAAGACCCATTTGGTTCAGAGCAATCCCAAACAGGGCAGACTTCTTCTCTCCACTAGCTCGAAACTTTGAAATGGCACTTTTGAAGGTGTTGTAGGAGTCAGCATAGCTCCCCATCATGTAATACATGACTCCCATCTGTGCCTCAATGCCTGCAATTGTGCTTTGTTGACCTGGGGCTTCGCTGAAAATGCTTAAAGCTTTCTTAAGTAGTTTGAGTGCCTGATCCAATTCATTCATAGATTGGTATATGGCAGCAATGTCAATGAGACCACTGGCAATCTCTTCGGAGGGGATCCCAGGATTCGGCTTTCCATAAATCCTGAGTGCATTTTCACAATAAGTTCTGGAATCCCGAAGTTTTCCTATCTTATTGTACAAATCAGCCAAACGAACGAAAACTGAAGCAACTGTTGGATGATTCTCTCCTTTTGCCGACTTAAATACTGTGAGCGCTTTCTGGTAGGCAAAAACCGCCTCATCAAACCGAGCCATCAATAAATATGCATCCCCAATGCTACAATCAATTGAAGCGACATCCACTTCATGACCACTGGCTGCCGTGGCCATGCTAGCTAAAACGTAATGCTCAAGAGCTGATTCATAATCTCCTTTGGAGTCACAGATGAGTCCCATAAGTCTCCTGTCAGCAGCTTCTTCGATAGAAGGAGGAGCACCATTCTCCCTGTGGATGTCAAGGGCCATTTGACAAAGCTTCTCAGCCTCATCAAATTGCAGGGCTTGAACATGTGCTTCTGCCACATATCGACATGTCTCACCAACTCGAGGATCAGTGTCTCCCAAAACTTGCCTTTGAATCTCCAAACCTGCTGTATAACACAATATCGAATTCTCAATTTGACCCAACATTGCATAAGTATCACCCAATTGCATGCATCCAGCAAATTTGGCAAGTGCATGAGTTTGGCCATCCTCAATCACTGGAATTTCAATTGAGCGCTCAAGAACAGGAATTGCCTCGTTGTACTGTCCTAAGTTGTAGTACAATGCTGCCAGAACATGCAGAGACATGACGAGCCCTAAACTTGGTTTGCCATTTGCACAAATCTCAAATGATTTCGTGGCTCGAAGAGCCAATTCAAGGGCTTTCTGAGGATTTTCACCAGAAAACATCATATCCCTTGTCTGTTTCAGCAGAAATGGTCCAAGGTCTGGATTCTCCAACCCTGCCTCTAGGTTATCCCCAGTTCCATTCTGAAACTTTGCACCCAGTAAAGCAAAATTCCTCTGTTTCCTCAGAGGGGAAGCTGCATTTAGTTTTCTTGCATACTTCTCATACCGCTTTTCAACTGGAGTTTTATCCTGAGAAGATTTGCTCTTTGGACTAGACTTTGCTGATGCTTCAGAATCCAATTGCAAGCGAGAACGATGCTTAACACCTGGAGTTTGATTCTTGATCTTCTTCTTCACAGGCTTTTTGTCACTAGATACATTTTCCTTTTTAGGGGTCAAGTCACCAACACTGCCTTCTTCTTTCTTCTCTGCCACCACCTCCTTTGTTATCTCAACAACACCGAAGTCCCCAACAAGATGGCACAATTCTGAATCAATCCTTGATTCCTCACCATATGATCCATAGCTAGTCATCGATGGTGATTGGTCAGAGCTTTGCATCTCGTAGACATTGTGATAAAGCTGCTCGATGGAGGTTTCCACCACCCCATCAATGGCTAAATCAATGGAATCACTCTGCTGACTCTGTGGACTCAATGCGCTTCTCGGAGACCTTTCCTGATTAAAGCTATCCTTGTAGGGAGTGCAAAACCCGTTATTAGGTTCATCGACTCCGCTTTCTCCATTTATTGCATCCATAGCTAATCCAGGCATTGCTCTGCCAAAAAAATCAATGCAAACTTCACAAGTAAAGCACCGAAGTGCAGAGAGAAAACCAATAATGAACCAGAAAAGAAATAATCATGAGGTAAAGCCAACCATGAACAATGTAAACCTTTCCATTATCAAAATCCCAAGAAAACAAAATTCCATACTCATTGTCAAATTCTTCCATAGTATCCCAAAAAGCTAACCAAAGTAACTTAACATCCAATTCATTGTACAAGTCAAAGAATAGCTACTACAACAACTACAACAAGAAAATGAAAACCCATTGCTAAGTTTAGCTAAGAATATTCAATGATCAACATCACAATAAGACCACTAAACCAAAAGCAGCTATAACAAAAAAAAAGAAGAAGAAAAAAGAAGACGATGAATGCTCTATAACGATAATGGATAAATGAGTAGTACCTTATTTAGTTCTGTTTAACGAAGAAACCCAAATTAAATGCTCTTGTTTTCTCTGGGTGTTGTGTACAGAAGAAGAGGTCGAAGAAGAAGGAATGGGGTGGTGTCATGTACTTGTATCTCTGTTGGCTTATATGTAAACTTTGTAAGGTATTTTGAGAGGAAGAGAGGGGCAAAATGGGTAAAATATAAATTAAAATAATTGAGATTAATGCAAATAATTTATTTATTGGGGTGGGGCTATAAAAGAGGTGGGATTTTGAAGCAATTTAGAAGGTGACTTTTCTCCCACCCTTTTTTATTTTATTTTTATTTTCTTTTTTTTGGCTGCCCTCCAACTGCCAATTGAACCTTTTTTTTAATTATTATTTTTGTGGGAATATATTTTGGGCTGTGCAAAGGACAGACAGTTGAAAAATTGGCGCGATTAACGGCTTTTCAAGGGGGAAAGGTTCGAGGGGAATAAGTTGTGATGACAGGGTTGTATCGTTAGGAACCGTGAAAGGTTGTTTTCATATTGACACGTGGAGATATATGGTTGCGGCTTTGAATCGTTGTAGGACTCCACCTGGACCACATCCAGCTTCGTTCTTGCTGTTTGGTTCGGGACAGCAATTTTTTCTAATCCCTTTGGGTGGTCCTACTGCAGCCCAATAATAGTAGGGCCCCAAATTTGACCATGGCCCACATCACTCCAAAATGGATAAAATTTTGTTCTCATTTTTAAATGTTGCTAAAGACAAATAAAGAAAAAAACATCCATTTTAAGGCAATTTGTAAACTAATATGCATGATTTCCTTATATTTAAAAAAAATAAACAGTTATATAATTTACATTTTTAAGAAAATACAATAAAGTTTAATAGAAAATTTACTTTATGTTTGTTTAAGTTCTTATAAAATTGGTATTTATATTATAGTAGGGCTCTATTTTAGAAACCAAAGCTAAGTACTTAATTCATTAATTTTTACTCCTAATTTTAAAGTAGTCATGGTTAACATGAAACAGTCAACATGATTGTTATGATTTATATAAGATTTAAGTCAATTATTGTAAATAATTTAAGTACGAAAAGTTATTATGATAGTAGCGTTTAGACTCATACTGTTATAATTGATAGCAGAGGATGTGCCAATCTAATGAGAGCTTTCACATTACACTGATCGTAATTATGATGTGTGACCTTAGGATATTAAAAATATAAATAGGATTGTAATATCCCGTTTGTTAAGACTTGTATAAAGACTTAAGTTTATTACATATTAATAATTTAAATTTAAATTTTTATTCATCCAATGATGCTTGCACCCTTATAAGCTAAAAGTAAAGACATCAACAATTCACAATTAAGGAAACAAGACAATATATAGTATGGAAAGACATTGAATTCAAAGATAATGATGAAGTAAAGGAGCTTTATGTCTTCTTTTTTATATTAAGGTAAAGCTATATACAAGATTTTAGGTAGGGTCGAAGGAGAAAAAGTGATGGATCAAAATACAATTAAATGATTAATTAGTGAGTTAAAAGAGAGGAAGACATCCTAAAGTATTTTTGATTACTTAAATATATTTAATTAATGTGTGCTGCATTATGATAAGTAGAGTATATTCTGATGGTGCCTGCAACTCCCTTCCTTTTTGACACCCCCAACCTTGCCTGGTGGTTAGGACCCAATCTTCATAATATTTATTCCACGTTTGGGTGGTCATGGGGTTTAGGTTCATAATATTTTCTCTCCCTCCAACTTTACACATATAATAAACTGTGGGGTTTGGGTATGTTATTCTTATATCTATTGAACTTTAACAGATTCCTGTCCAATGATGAGCTATTCTGGATTAGCACTCCTATTAGGTTTAGTGTCCCACCAGTACCATGATTAGCCAGTAATCTAAAACTGATACACCAACCAAAGGTATTAATTATTCAGCAATTAAACTTCACCCCAATTTTCGAGTAGAATTGTCTCATCTTCAACAGCAAACAACAGTGACAGCTGCTGCTGATATTTATATTTAAATGGAAATGGAGATGGTGGTAAAGCCTAATCACCTGATATTCAGAGCCCAACAACTAGAAGGATAGAAAGAATAATATCACCTACCCTCTCCCTTTGCATATATCTTGTGTCTTAGTGCCTACCCTTTATAAATTATTTCCTTTTTCTTGGGGGGCTTCTTCATCATAGGGTTCCTCGATTGATTTGAAGTCTCATTTTGTTGGCAGCATGTTGGGTTTTCCTTTGGCTTTTTGGGGGTAGCTGGAAAGGAAGAATATAGATTTTTATAGCTGGATAGTTTCGATTGCACGATTGTCCAATTTGAGTCATACATGTTTTTACATTTGAACAATTAATAAGATTTGAGCAAGGAAATACTGTCTTTATTCTGACAAGTTGTTGGATTCTTTGTCCTTTTTTTAAACATGTAATTGAATACGTGACTATCAAGTCTAAAGCTTAATTAACATGCTAAACATATGCATGTGTAATGGGCATAAAATCTTTGTAGTGCACTATGAAAATACCTTGGGGAAAAAGAAAGTGAAGGACTTGCCGACGGATTCACAGAAGTGCAAACAAAAGCTTCTATTTTAAGGTTAGAGCATATTTTTGGAGAAGTTAAGGTTGTAAGCAGTTCTTAAATAAGAAACCACTTTCTAGAATGCTGATGCAGGTCTGCTGTAATTGTTGAACTGTCACTTCATATTCCAAATCTGATAATGCCACCAAAATTCCTTATAGACCAAGGTGGTTGGCTCTAGCCCTGCTGGTTACCTGGTTTAGTTGCTTTGCATATCAAAGAAAACTCTCAATTAATCTAGTTAATAATCTTCTAGAGAACCCTTGTTAACGGTCAAACAAGCCTTAATTTAGTGACTGAAATTAACTTTTTTTTATTTTGGGAGAAGACTGACCTTCTAGCTAGCTAGTTGGTACATAGGATAATATGAATAAAAAGATAAAAATTAAGACAAATTATCTTATAAATCAAGTTTAGAAAATAAAGAATTATCACATTTTTAATTTAAAAGATATATCTATTAAGCGATAGATTTTTATTTATAAATCAAGACCCATCATATCTTTTAATGACGTGAAATCTGTGACACTAGATTAAAGAGGAATATAAAACCCTACACTTAACATTCCTAGTTACGCAAAGACCAGCTTAGCACTGTCCTCAAATTGACATATGGACAAGTATCTCAAAGCTTGATTGACTGTAGTGTGATCCAACACTTAGTAAGACGCAACCACAGTGGAGTAACAGCAGCAACCAGTCCCACAGATATCAGCTGACAACAGCTTCCAAACTCAAACAGAAACCCAGGCCATCCAACCCTAGCACCAAGAAAGTAGCTTGTTATCATTCCAAAGCTCAGCACCAACAGGTATCACAACTCAGCATTCGAATCTAACTTGTGTGGTAATTTTTTCAAAGAAGGAATTTTATTGTCATGACTTTTTTCAAGAGTAAGTTTGTTGGAAAAGCTAGTGAGGGGATGAACTGGAGATGGGATGGAATGGAGCTTTAGTGAAGTAAGAGGGAGAGAGGATCTGATCCCTGGTTAGGTCAAAGGGACAACTTTATTTCTTTTTTTGGACCTTTTTGAAAGGTTCTGATCTCTTTTCTCTCTTTTCAATTTTGACTTTTATTGGTTCACTGAAAATTAAGAGGATATAACATACGTACGTGTGGTTCAAAATGCCAAAAGGTTTGGCCACATACTGGCCCGCTCAATGACATTAATTCCTTCTCCTCCTTTGAAACTAGTCAAAAATAAGCTTTTTCTGTAGTGAACCAAGCTGTGTAGGTTCTATGTGAGGGTTACAGTCAGTAGGGTTCATATGGACCATTTCTTCATCCACTATACATGTGCAGGTTTAAGTTGAAGGGTACCCCCATTTATATATCATCAGATTCCCAAACCCAACAATGTTTTCACCAATGAATTTAGAATAATTGCCAATGTAAGTAAGGTATTTAGTTAAAGAACTTTTAATATGGTCGATGTTTATGCGATCGATTTTTTTAAATTAAATATTAATAATTAAAGAATCGAGATGTCTCATCTTTTTATCTTTTTTTAAAATATTATATCAAATAGATTGATATAAATAAAAAAAGATAAATCAAATTACAGTTAATTTTTTTACGTATATCCCATTCATATATAATAAAAAAGACATATTTTTAACGACTCAAATTTTTTTAATTTTTCACATTTCTTGCTAAAAGCAAGTTGTGATTAGAGCCCAAGTTTGCCAACAGGTTACAGCTGCCCCTGTTTATAGCATGCCTAAGGGCATTCCAACATGCATGTAAGTGATTAAAAACCATCGTGTACACACAGAAATTTAATGCAAAAGCTGCTCCAATAATCTATAAACGTACGAGTTATCAGAGGATAAAGAAATTGAATTTATGGCAATTCCCATATATAATTTTCAACAGGAGGATGCACATACACATCTTAGTTAATTTGGAAAAATTTTATCAAATGCTAAACTATGTAAAAGTGTCCATGGGCAAGTTGTGATTGAGAAAAAGCCTGTTATCTTCGTCAAAGGGAGGGCAATCTCTGCGGTGGGTTCGGTTTGACTTGTGAATATAGAGACGTTTATGGGAATGATGGAAATGGGCTTGTATGGACCAGAATCATTAAGGGAAAAAAGTGCTCTTTCACCTACAACTTTTCTGTTGGGTATCTTGTTCAAAAGCAACATGGAGGGAATCTCTACCAGGCCCCCTTTAGAGTCAAAAGTGAGTCTTTGCTGAAATTCCCCTTGTTGTTTTGTTGTTCATAAAGTCAAACCTCTTTCTTTCTTTGAAGGAGAAGTAAGTAATTGTGCTTAAGCTTATGCAAACAACCTTATCTGCCTTTGCCGAAAGTAAGGGAGCTTAAACTTGAATAACTATGAAGGTTTTACCGTGAGTCTCTAAAGCCCATTACCCATTGGCATTTGCTTTTGCTGGACAATTTTTGTCATGTCAGCCAACTTGGTTTTGCCCTTTTTCCTTCACAGTGCAAGACAAAAGAGATAAGCTATGGCATTATCCAGCTTGAAAAGGACCTTATCCCTGCCTTTGCCGAAAGTAAAAGGACATTAAACTTGATCACGAACTTACCCCCCATTTTAGGCTGGCCAATTTTATCCTTTTGTCTTGTCAGCCAACTTGGGTTTTGCCTTTTCTCCGTCCCCATGCATATGCGGGAGTTTGTGAACTTCCTATGTTTGCGATAGAAAAGAAAACGATGGAAACAACGCAATCTTTGACCAAATCCTCATGGAAAAAGTAAGCCATGGACATTGTTTGCATTAGTGAATAGTGCATTAGGTCACAAGACTTCTTAAATAAATATGACCAAAGTAGCTCGTGTTCATTACTTGCACCAATCCTGTGTTAAATGCACCACAAAAAACCTCTATAAAGAAGGAAATTCAGTATCAAACTGATGACTGAAGGTGTAGGCCTCTGATCAATTTATACTATAAAAAGTTAGTTAACATGTTGTTTAGCACATTAAATAAAGTTAACCATGCACACGAGCTTGCGCACGTTCATGTGTAAACTCTCGCGTACATTTGCACACATATAAAAAGTAAGGGAGGGATGGAGGAGACAAAGAGTGAAATATTCTAGTTGATCAGTGGGGCTCCAAGCATCTGGATTACTACGAATGTTCTGGTGCAGAGATAGAGCTCCAAAATTCAAGTAATTTTCCCCAAGGAATCATCCTTAGGCTCAAGTGGGACACAAATTTCTTCCTTAACTGATATAAATACCCTCCCCTATCCCCTCTTCTTTCCTCAGGTCCTTCTAAAGTAATACACACTAAATTTTCAACGCTCATCATAACAAGATGGAGTCTTCAGATAGCATGCGGTATTCTCTCTTCTTACTCGCTCATACAAACAAACAAACACACACAAGCATTCACACATAAAATCACAATAACATATATATAAGTAACAAACAGAAAGCACTTAGTAGATAAGTACTATAGCACAAATGATTTCAATGCTAAATTGATCAAATTATTCGAGCTGCAGGAACAAATGCGCGGCATGCTTCAGACAGTTCATCAGAATGGAGCACCTGGTTGACCACATGAGAACTGCGTATCATTCAGTTCATGAACCTACCTGCGGAGTGTGTCAGAAACACTGCAGGTCGTTGGAATCGCTAAGGGAACATCTTATAGGTAAGTAATAATGAATATTAGCACATCCATATGTTTTGTTAATCCAAAGATTTTGTGAGGACAGACTCTTGACTCTTGACTACTATTTTGTTCCAAATAGGTCCATTGCCGAAACAAGAGTGCAAGAATTTGTTCAACATCCGAGGATGCAAATTCTGCTTAGCCATTCTGGATAGCCCATACGCTCTTAGGATCCATCAAGACAGATGCCAGCTCTCGGGAGTAAATTATGTATGAACCTTTAGCTTGAAGTTAAAGCTACTTATTTCAACTATAATTCCTTCCCTCTATTCGCAAATTGAGTTTATACTGAATTTTATACATGATATCTCATTGAAGGGAATAACGGCTCGTCTGGCTAACTTAGGTCTTCGTGATAGCTTGACAATCGACAATGGTTTTTCAAGAGGCCCGCAAGTAGTTGCACTAGCTTGCAAAATGGTTGGTGCTGGCAGTGACGGCTCATTAGATCTTTGTGCAAGGGTTTGCATCATTGATGAAAATGAGAAATTGATCTACCATACTTATGTCAAACCACCAATTCCAGTTACAAACTACAGGTACCATTAATGAAAATGAGAATATGACTATGCCAATAGGCAAATTCTGATAATTCCAACAAATGGAATCAAACAAACCAATTAAGTTTTCTCCAACTACTTTCAGGTATGAAACCACAGGCATTCGACCAGAATATTTGAGAGATGCAACGCCATTGAGACAAGTGCAAAGAAGGATTCAAGACTTCCTTTGCAATGGAGAACCAATGTGGAAAATTCGATCTCCTAAAGGTGGCAAAGCCAGGATTCTCGTGGGTCATGGTCTTGATCATGATCTTGACCGTCTCCAAGTAGAATATCCAGCACTCATGATAAGGTAAAGTTTAAGGATGCTAGCATACATTCAAAAGGAATAGGTGCTGCTGTAATTATTTTATAGTCTAAATTGCACATTCATCTTTTTCCTATATATTCTACTACTAGAGACACAGCTGAATGATGAAACTCATGTGGAAAATACAATTAATATAGTATAAGTTTATGTGCCTACAGGGATACTGCAAAATATCCTCCGTTAATGAAAACAAGCAAACTTAGCAACTCACTCAAGTACTTAACCCAAGCATACCTGGGGTAAGCATCTATACACAATATCTATTTAATTTCCTCATGATCATATCTGTCGATAATTATTCACTGATGCAACTTCTATATTCAGGTATGACATCCAAACCGGCATTCAAGACCCTTATGAGGACTGCGTTGCAACAATGAGGCTTTACGTGAGGATGAGGAATCAAGCTCATAGGAGAGAAAACTATCCACTGGCTTCTGACCCTCAAAACCGAAACAACTTTGCATCATGGAGGCAAAGTGAGCTCGAGAGGATGTCCCCAGAAGAAATGCTGGCTGCCTCAAGGTCTGACTACTACTGTTGGTGTTTGGACTCTGAATGAACATTGAACGCCAGCATATATATATATATAGTTCTCATGTGGCCAACCTGGTGTTCCATTCTGATTAAAGTTTAAGGATGCTAGCATACTACATACATATATATATATATATATATATATATATAATATATCCAAAAGGGAGTATGATAAACTTTCAAGTTTATCATCCCAGGACTTTTAATAGCAATAAGAAGGAAGTATTTGTTATTTCCTTAGTATACTAGTTGTTAATTTTGTACTAGTAAAACAAATTCTTGGAGTATATGTGTGCACCGGTGTATGATATAATAAAGCAGACGTCTAAATAAAAGGCATTATTTCCTCAGTCTTTGTGAGCCAAAGCTAGCTAAGACATGTAAACCCCTTACCTTGTAGTGCTCTTTGTTGTTGAGATGATGATTAATATCTCCTTCTGTCTCGATAATATCACCACCTTGCCATATCTTCTGCTGTTATAACTTCTTTGGATATCTTCAATCGTTATTGATTAAGTAAAACCTGGAATAAAGCCATAATAATCCATTAACAAATTCGAGAACGAGCTGTGCAAATTTGAAAAATTGAAAAACGAAAAACTCTATCAAAGTCATTTGATCTAACTTAGTTGAGTACTGCTTTCCCAGCTTATATTGGTAAAATTAGTGCTTATTACACTGTAAAAACTTCCACAAACACAAACTCACACACATATAAAGAGACTTACTATGAAATGTGAATCATCATAACATACAAGATTTCTGTTCTCTAAATTTGCCTGTGATTGCCTGCAAATTCTGTTGCCCGTCATCATAGCCTTGCTAGTGATTAAAGTTTTCCAGGTTCGAAGACCAGGAAACTTGTCATGTTTCAGTGGAGCTTGATATTTACCATGCATGTGGCACTATCTAGGCCTCATGGTTAAAATCGATTCCCTTTTAAGGACCACACACAAGATCTTAGACCTCATTAGCTTCTACTAGAATCAGATGCTCAGGAATTTGAAACTGATCAGTTCTCCTTCGCTTTTGAATCTTGATGTATGTACTCCATGGAATACAGATGCAAATAACATGTTGAAAAAGCGTACACCATGCTTCTAGTAGGAGGGATCATGGACGGTCGGGATCACACACCGAAACGGATCCAGCAAGAGAGACTAAGGAAGAACTAAAAGATGTTTATATATTTGGAAAAAGAACTGGACTGCACTAGGCCTTTTGAGGATTTCAGTTACTTTAAAATCTAACCCTAACTAAACGTTAACTTGTTCTTGCTTCTTGGAGATTATTCATCTAACTGAGATGATTCCAAAATTAAGTCTGAATCTCCTTCTTTCTTTCAGGCTGTGTGTGTGTGTGTATATATATATATATATTTAATCTTGAACAAGTGGCACGGAAAACTAGTAATTATAGATCAACAATAAAGAGTAAACCGCAACCAAATGCTAAGCAGAGAAAAACAAGGAGCGAAAGAAGGAAAGTAACAAGGAATCCAAGATGCTTACGATCAAGAGAGCGACTCTAAAGTAGGAATTCTGATCATCAAATAGGCGAAAGACTCGTATGCCTACACTGATCAACCAGTGATCGGTTGAACTCTACGGATATCAAGAGTTCTAGGCCTGTTCTTCCCTAAAGTAGTTACAACCACTACTGGTTGATCATCCAAAAGCTGCTGGAATGTTCATGGTAAAGATGATATATAATTAAACTAGACATGATACTCAAATAAGTCCTAAATTGTTCAAGAATTTTCAAATAAGTCATTTATTCTTTTATTACATTTAATCAAGTCTATGTACTTTTATTTTAGATCAAATAAGTCATTATGATTAATAATTGACTAATTACCATTAGTAAAAATGACAAATGTCATTTTATATTCAAATGACACTGACATGATATTGATGTGGAGAGTGAAAATATCATATAATCATGTTATCATGTCAAATTAGCATGTCATGTTATTATCAATTATGATATGTCAGTTTACCGTATCATCATCAATTATGATATTATAGTATTCCATGTCAACATCACGCGTTATAGAATAACAAATAATATTTTAATTATATCAGTCACTAATTACAAAGGTTTATTTGATTCAAAATAAAAGTATAAAGGTTTATTTTAATCAAAATAAAAATATAAGAGCTCGATTGCACGTAATACAAGTATAAGAGTTTCTTTGAATTTTCATAAATAATTTAAGGACTTATTTGTATATTATGCTATTATATTACATCGTTACCTGTAGGTCCAAAAAGATGAAGATCACAAGAGTTACTGCCGGATGAGTGTAAGCCTTAAAATGCATTTTAGCTAGTAGCCATAGATTCCACTTCCATCTCACAAAAGTATATATGAAGATGCACATATGCTTAAATCCAAGTACAAAGTAGAGGCAACCAAGTGTTTTTTTTACTCGTGTACATGCTTGATTTTTCTTTTTTTGCAAATAAATGAAAGGGCACTCATCCTTTTATTTTATCAGTAAAAGGGTATAATTTCCTAATTAGTTCCCTCCACGACTACTTCAAGATATAAGTGATTTATAACTCTATTTTATAGAATAATTTTGTCATATTTTAAGCATAGAAATGAGTTAAATCTTTTAGTTTAGATTGAAATTGTCACTTTTTACTTATTTTTTTTTAAAATTAAGTTTTAATTGTTTTAAATAGTTTGATTTTAGTTAGATTTTATATTGATTAAGCCACTTTTTTATGTTAGTAACTTGGTTTTGTTTGTTCTTGAAGGTGCACGATCAAGAGGTTCAAAATGATGAAGAAAAATGAAGCCAAGGAAAAAATCAACAAGTTGGGAGCTGAGCAGCTACGGAAGAGTGGGCGTTGTGGCACTAAGAAGATGAGGTAGTTGTACATGGGCCGCAAGCAAGGGCGCTGCCATGCCAAAGAGGTAAGGCTACGATGCTAAGGCATTAGAGAGTTGGGTGCTGCGGCATCAGAAAGTGGAGGTCACAATGCCAAAAAGTGGAGGCTGCTTCACCAGCACGATATCTCTTTCAGTTTTTTTTCTGGATTTGATTCAAAGTAAGTATTTTAAGGGCTATTTAAAAGTACCTTTGGTGCAATTAAAATGTACATTTGAAATAGGGTTTCTATTAAGGAAAAGTAGTCATCAAGCATACAAGAAGGCAAGAAAGGCTTTGAAAGATTAAAGATTCGGCAAATCTCTGGTTTTCTTTTCTTCTTTGCTTCTTCTTAATTTTTCTTGTATTGTAATTGATGGTTAAACTTCTTTGGATTATGTTTTCAATATTTAAGATGAGCTAAATTTATTTTTGTAAGATTGCAATTGAAATCAATATGTAATTTAGATTTTTAATATTATCTATTTCTTATGATTAATGGTAGTTAAGTTTTTTATTCCAATATTGTGTTTAATGCGTCTAATTGATTGATCACCAGTTATATTGATTGGATAGCCTAAATATACTTGGAAAAAGAAATTTAATGTAAGCCATGGATAGAATAACATATGTTCAAATTTATTTAGTTGATTGAATGATTTATTTCACTCGTTAGAAAAGAATATACTTACATATCATATGTAATCAATATTAGAGTCTAAGCTTTATGAGTCTTTCTTTAATTTAATTTGCATAAGAATATAATGAATTGGTTGAGGGAGATATTTTTATAAGAACATTGGAAGATACTTATAAATAAATTAGGCCTATAAGTTAATAGTTCATTCCATTTAGTAAGTTACAAGAGAGTAGAAGAGATTTAAATGAAGTGTTGAGGGAAATTGTAATTCTAAGGTTTTTTTTATTAATTTTTCAAGTTTAGGTTGTCATCCTAATTGCTAGTTTAGATTTTTATTTTACTCCTTAATTTAAATTGTGTATTTGGGTAAGATTAAATTATTTAAATTTTAGTAATTAACGAATTTTGGTAATAAATCCTTGTGAGAATGATACAGTACTCTTCACTTACTTGTTAGGGATATGTGTACTTGCTTAATAAAATTAACAATAGTTATTAGTGATCCCAATCTCTCTTTTGGCCCTTTGGACCAAAAGAATAGGTAATAGGTATAAACTATAAGGATTTCTCCTTTTCTTTTTCTTTTTTTAAGCCCTAGTTGCTCTCTTTTCTTTTAAAAGCTCCCAACCAATAACTAAACCCTAAACACTCCCTTCTGAAGGCTTGAAATGCCTCAGACCTCTCTCATTGCACACCGAGACTATCTCTTCTCTTTCTCACTTGAATGGCAACCCAAAACTCTAACCAAGACAACTTACCTTGAAAACCTCAAATAGGAAAACCAAAGCCTAATATTTTTATGACTCAAACCCCAAACCTCTTTAATAAACAAACCAAAGCCTAATACTTCCAAGACTCAAAAGCCAAACCTTTCCAATCGTGATCCCTAACCTTCGCTATATATCTTTTATATTTTCTTGGTTCTTTTTTCTTTATTTTGTTTCTGATTTTTAGTGTTGTTTTTTTACAGCTCAATTCTCTTTCTATCTTGGCCTTGTCTGGAGAGCCTCATCGACACCATTGATATTGTTTTTGTCCTCATCTCCACCAATTTGTCCGCCTTTTTATGTAATTACATGTCCCTTCAACATCTCGTCTCAAAACTCTTACTTTTACCCAATTTCCCTCAAACCACCACTCAACCTGTTTTCAACTTTTTGTCCCAAAACTCTCATTCCTACCCGGTTCTTAGCTTTTCCTGAATCACCTCCTCTCAACCCTCTTTTACCCAAATCACCTCCCGTAGCTTCTCCCAACTCCAAATCACCTCACTCTTTAGTAGAACAAGGTTTCAACATATTAGAGAAAGTCTTAAATCTTGCTAAGATTATCTCTGAAGTAATGAATGAATTTGAAGATGAATCTGAATAGATTTCAATGTTTAAGTACCTACTATTTCTTTGATACCTAAAGTTTAAGACAATTTAAATTGAAATAGTATCTCTATGCCATTATAGTTTTAGTGGATTGAATAGCTATAAGTTCTGTTGCTTCAAGTGTGTGGAGG